TGGTTTTATGTGTATCAGAAAGGGTTTTGTGGATATTATAGCAATTTCAGTGGTTGATATCATGAGCCAATTGAAGCTAGATCACCATGGAAAACCTGAAAGTACTAGACGGTCATTTCGTTCTATTGTAGGACTTCACAGCAGTGCACATCCACGACCCCACCTCGCGAGATTCGAACCCAGGACCTATCAGTCTCACTCGCGAGCGCTTAACCACTAGACCACTGAGGAGATCGACATCCAGCGGTGTGAATGTTTAACTTCAACTGATCCACGAAATTGAGTGACACATCCATCATTGTCATCACTGAGTTACTATCTCACAACTGACTTGGTTGAACTCCACTGGTCACTATCGCACAATAGGACCAAACGGCCGTCCAGTGCTTTTAGGTTTTCCATAATGGTCTAGATTCAATTGACTCATGATCTCAACTATTGAAAGGTTTTATATATATTTAAAGACTATTTATTAGATAGACCTTCATGGAAAACATTAATAAATGTTTAAGAGATCTATTTCTATATTGTTTATTATTCTTTTTTAAAGTTATATAAATTGTACGAATATTCGTCAAGATTAGAACAAATAGTTTGACAGAAATTAGGCGCCGAGTATAAAGAAGTTATTATATATGAAAATTATATTTGAAATAATCTCAGCAATTGAAATTTAGAAATAATTCCAACATTTCGTCCAGTTAACTTGTTTGAACTTCTTCATGGTAATCAACAAAATTAAAATCATCAAAGAAATATATAGCTATCAACCAATCAAATCTATACTATGTTTAACCAATCGTATTTGAATATTGATTTTTGTAAAATATATAAATTGTATTACATGTCAATTTTGAGTACTTGAAGTCAAAATATCAATCAGTTGCTATGTATTTAAAATATAATCAAATAATCTCTATCTATTTACTTTATCCACATGATCGATTAAAGTGTGAATTTTTTTTTTCTTTTCAAGTTGTCATTATTAATTTTTATTACCTGAAAAATGTGTTTATAAAAGTATTCAGATAGTGTGGATCCTAGTGTACTTAGAGATATTTATAATACATATATCAAAATGATTATAAAATAATATTGTTATCATAACATTTATATTAAAATCATGAATGAATCAATGTTAGATTATCATTGAAAACAAGGAAGTACTGGACAGCTGTTTCGTTCTTGTATGAGACTCTTCAGCAGTGCTCATCCACAATCATGTCTGTGAATTTCAATGCCTTTAGTTTCGCTTTCGAATAATCGCACAGTATTATGTATTGGTTGATATTAGTATTGGGGCGATCCAGAACTTTCTTTGAAAAAAAGACAAAAAAGGCTCTGAAAACACTAAGAAACATCTTATCCAATCAGTATTCAATAGACGTTTTGCCAGAAACATCTAGAAAGTGAACAGTACCATCTAGCGTTCGTGACTGGATGATTATCTATACTGCTACAATGTTTGATAGCGTTCCAGAAATTTATGGAAGCTTGAGGTCATCTAAAATACTATAAATACCATAGATTTTCTGTACATAAATGAATCTTCAGAGTAAAGCGTTTCTTCCACATTTTGCACCTTTTCTTTCGTATTCAAGTCGCTGTGTAGATTTATCCTGGTTACTAGAAGAGCATAGGGAGCAAATGTAGCGTTTAATTAAAAGACTGATAAGTTATACATTAACACCGTTGGATAACGACTCAATGGTCTGGAAGTTAAACCTTTATTACGCGAGACCAAAGTCACTAGATTCCAAATTCACGTGCAGGATCGTGGATACGCACCGTTGAGGAGTCCCATTCTAGAAAGAAACTGCCGTCCAGTGCTTTCTTGTTTTAAATTGTAGTCTGATCACTCTGTTGGAATTAGTTAATTAAATCTACTAGGATTATTTAGATGTTGTTATTCACCCAAATCTATCACTAGGTATTACAAGAGGCTAGAAACAAAATAGTCAAAAGTCTGAACGTACATCATTGTTATAGATGGTTAAAGGTATTCCATAGTAAAACCAAGAGATGATGTTTCATGTTAGCCGCTACTCTTTAATTAGCCACGTCAACAATTCTGAGAGGATTAATACTTTCTGAGAGATTTAGATCGAAATATTTGTCATCATTCAGTAATCAATTATTGTTAATTATTATTATTATTATTAGCTTTATTCAATATTATATTTTTGGTACAATATAGAATTCTCAGCGTAATGTATTTCAACAAGTTTCCGTTTCTTTCTTCTTGGTCGGTCCTGGCGATAAATATTGAGGGATCGCCAGTTAGATGATAGCACTTCAGTGAATGAACAACTGAATAATGTACATTCTTTTCGTTGTATATTGCCAGCAACCATATTGTCTCTTATTGAGTTTTCTGTAATTTTGACAACGAAAGGTTGTACACTTTTCAGAAACGCAGCAGAATAGGTTATGCGATTAATAAACATAATGATATATTAAAACAAACAACAATAGATAACTTGTTGAAATATCTAGATGGCAGGAACAGGTAGCCCAGATGCTCAAGCAGGATTACTATAGATACTCATCTGTCGTTCTTGAGCACAATTTCACAACTCATATGATTTGACTCTTTCTTCTTTTCTTGTTATTTCACATTTTTTACTTCTGAAAAATATTTTGTTGTATCATTTTTTGGTGCGACCATAATTTATGGACGACCTTTGAGCAACACCAGACTCACCTTGGGAGTGTCCATTTAATAACCAGGATCAAATGACGGTCATAAACCAGTGTAAGGGATTCAAATGATAATTTACAGTTGATGATTAAAGTTAGAAATTAGATTTTGTGTTTTCATCATGAACTGACATCAGTTATAATGTCAAAACTCTATTTATCCGAATGGCTGAATTTCGCACCGAAACCCGAGACCTATTATCTTATACGTGATTGGTTTGTCCATAAATTATAGTGTCGCACTTTTTTTTTCATTTAAACACGATTAAGAATTTCAACAAAATGAACTATTAAAATATCATCTAAAATTCAAGTTTTTCACCATAAAACACTTGCGAACAGTTACTGAATTTTCAAACGAAATACTGTCAAATAAAATTTTATCTTCCGTTTTGTGTATTCATTCAACAATTTGTTTGTAAACATTTTTTGTGTGCAAAATCCTGATTAATTTTACATAGAAAACTTTCCAGTTCAATAGCACTCTGTTGAAAACTTTTCCTGGTACTGATAGTAGTGTGATACCTCTGTAGTTCTCATATTTGCTGAGATCTTTCTTTGGTATCTTGATGAGTTTTCCTTCTTTCCAGTGTGTTGGCACTTGTTCTTCCTCACAAATCTTCCTGAACACAGTGTGAAACATGTTCGCATTTAATTCTCTATCCAACTTCAGTGCTTTAGCTGGTATGTTGTCAGGTTCTACTGCTTTCTCACCCTTGATTTTTCAGATGGTTTTACTGGTTTCCTCGACTGTTGGTAAAGTAACAACTATAGGAAGCTCTCTGTGTGATACTTCAATGTCCGGTGGATTCAGTGGAGTTAATATACATAAGAGTTCTTCAAAGTGTTCTACACACTTGTTCTGCCGTTCTTAAATCTCAGTGATCGGCTTGCCTTTTTTGTCCTTGACCGGTCTCTCTGATTTACGTTATGTCCCAACTATCTTCACCGTTGTGTCATGTAGTTGTCTCATAATTACTTCTTTTGCAGCATTTTCCTTGTCTTTACGAGATCTACACGTTTCTGCTTGTCCGCTCTAATGATTCTCTTTAATCATTTTCAAGAATGTAATTAGTTTGTTCAAAACCTATCTTCCGTATACTAGATGTGTCGTAAATTGTATTAGAGAGCCTTTGTACTTTTTTCGCATAGATATATTCTTATTTATCTGTGTCCTATTCTGCTTGAAAACATACAATTAGAAAATAGGAAAGGAGAAGACGTTTAGTGTCTGATAAAACTACATTTAGCAGTATCTTTATATATTTCAGATATTTATCTACAAGCATATTCATAAGAGCACCATAAAATTCAATACATATCTTTCTAATCTTGACATCACTCTCCGTAAAACACCAAAAACTTTTCTTAAAATTCCAGGAACGCAAATGAATAACAGTAAAGGATAATAGGTAAAACATAAGAAATTAAAAAATTTCAAGAGATGTTGTCGAACACCACTAAAAGCATGTAATGGCATCTTTATATGAAACAATCAATAAGATCCTCTAAAAACATAATAGATTGTTATCAGAAGAGGTTTTGTGGATATTATAGCAATTTCAGTGGTTGATATCATGAGCCAATTGAAACTAGATCAACACGGAAAACCTGAAAGTACTGGACGGCCGTTTCGTCCTGTTGTGGGACTCCTCAGCAGAACATATTCACGATCCCGCCCCCCTTGAGATTCGAACCGAGGACCTATCAGTCTCGCTCGCGGGTGCTTAACCACTAGACCACTGAGCCGGGCAGCATCTAACGGTGTTAATGTCTAGTTTCAACTAATCCACAAAATTGGACGACACATCCACCATTGTCATCATTGATTTAGTGTTTAAGCGCTCGCGCGCGAGACTGATAAGTTATGGGTTACGATCTCGCGGGGTGTGATATCGTGAATGCGTACTATTGAGGAGTCTTATAATAGGACGAAACGGCCGTCCAGTGCCTTCATGTTTTCCATAGTGTTCTAGCTTCAACTGACTCATGATCTCCACCATTGAAATAATAGATTATAACCAGTACAAAGTTGCAAAAGTGTACAGCTCAAACAATAATTACAAGCTTTCACTCAGATGTTAACATTTCAGATATATGACAACACATTTCTTTTATACTTAAGTAAGGCATTATGAATAGTATACTTAACCACCAGACGTTTACTAACACTAATAGGATTACAAATTTTCATTTTATTATACAAACTATTTGTAAGTAAACACAAAACATATCTTGAATATTTCAGCCTACTATTATTACATTATTTTTCTTTCTTTTTTTTTCTTGTTTTTCTTTAGAGGTGATAAGAAAAATACTACCGTAGCAACAATAAAAAATACAATTTCAACATCAAAACAATCAGAAAACAAAATGGTTACACAAACATCACCTATTTTAACATCGATAAAACATGATGAACAATATTTGAAATCAACTTTAATCAATAAACCAAAACATTCATCACAAGTTCAGCTAACCAACACTATCACTAATCATCATAATACATTTGATAAAAGTAATGTTAATCACTATATGAATATTAATAATAATAATAATGCTCAAAAAATAATGCTTAAACATATTAAATCTTATCCTCCTATACAAAAACTATCAACTAGGACTAATAATAAGAATAATATACTTAATACTCATAATCATCATTCATTAATACCTGTATTCCAGCGGAAGTTAATTAGTTCCACTGTTCCGATGAGAGTAAATACTATTACTACTACTACTACTACTACTACTACTACTACTACTACTACTACTACTACTACTACGACGACGACGACGACAATAATGATGACGACGACTACGACTACGTCTACTAACACTGTCGTATCTAGTTGTTTCATGTCAAATTTAGCATTGAAAAAGAATTATTTAGGTTATAATTTAGATGAACACAGTATAAAACAAATTAATAAATATACAAGTTTCAAAGAAACTGGTTAGTATATCCTGTTAGCCATATTACTATTAATTGTTATTAGTAGTTAGATATGGTATGATAATTAAGTGTTTTTTTTGTTTTGTTTTAAATAACAGATGAAAATATTTTTCTGAAAATTGAGATTAATGTGTATTATTATAATTTTAATAGTATAAATAAATAAAATAACAAATTAATATAGGAGATTTGTAGAGGTTACTTAAGTTAGCTGGATCATCATTGAAAACCGGGATTCAATGGATGAACAGTATGAGATTCCTTAATAATACAAATTTATGACTAATCCATGGGAATAGAATCTAGGACCCTTGGTTTCAAGTGCAAACCATCAGTCAATAGACCACTTAAAGTTTGCAAAAGATCATAGGTTCATAGGGCGTTAACGATTAAAACCGTTGAATGTTATCTCAGTGATCTAGAGGTTAAGCGTTCGTAAGCTTAGTTTCGAAATTATTAAAGTCTACTCATATCTCATTTATACGACATAGAAATTGACATTTATTTATTAGAAATAAATCAAAACTTTTTAATATATAATAGAAATTCATTATTACTTTTATATAAACTATGAATAATTTCCGACCATCTACTTAAAATACTTTTGTTCACTATTAAGTTAATATCTGAAAGCATTCCCACTTAAACCTCTATAAAGTTTATATCTTTATTTGATCTATTAAATAAGAATAATAAAGCAAATAGCCATAAATATATATGGGAATGCCAATACAATACTCATTAGATTAAATTGATTTTCATCTATGAACATATGACTTAAGCTTTTTCCATGGTGGTCTAGCTTCAACGGACTCATGATCTTAACTATTGAAATTACTATAATATCCACAAACGTCATCCGATATTAATCGACATATGCTCACTAGTGACTGGCTTCAAGTGGTATATCCTGGAGTTCTAGTGAGAAGTAGCGACCAGTGGAGTTCAACCGAGTCAGTTGTGAGATAGTAACTCACTGAAGACAATGATGGAAAAGTGACTCAATTTCGTGGATTGGTTAAAGTTAGACATTAACACCGTTGGATGCTAGTCGGCTCAATAGTCCAGTAGTTAAGCGTTCGCGGGCGAGTCTGATAGGTCCTGGGTTCGAATCTCGCGAGGTGGGATCGTGGGTGTGTACAACTGAAGAGTCTCACGATAATACGAAACGGCCATCCAGTACTTCTAGGTTTTCTAGGGTGGTCTAGCTACAATTGACTCATGATCTTAACTATTGAAATTACTATAATATCCAAAAAATCCATCTGATACTTTCTCTAATAGTTAAACACCTAAGGTTACTGAATAAGTAGTTTTTGTGACGAAACTCTAACTTAGGGACGACCTTTGAACGAATCTTAAATGGCCTTGACAATTATTAGCCAATCAGAAGACAGTTAGTATAAAGTAAAAATATATTACAAGAAAGTAATGAATTACAGTGGATATTCTTCTTTTACATGATTTAAAAACTTGTTAAGGTTTGATGAAGGTTCAGAGGTTCTGAATTCATAATGCATACGGTATAGAAACTCATCCATAGAGTTAGGGTTTAGGGTTAGGTTTAGGGTTGTAGCCTAGGGTTTGGCTTAGGATTAAGTTAGGGTTAGGGTTAGGGTTAGGTTAGGGTAGCGAGATTCTAATTTAGGGACGAGCCATAAAGAAGCGTTTGAGCAATTTCAAGTTCACGGAGCCAAGTTCAACACGTGATGCTAACATACGATGGGTTAACAGCGGATTTTAGAGCAGAGGTGTTTATCGAGAGGCTACACCCCTTACCCTAACCCTAACCCTAACCTTATCCTAACCCTATAGACGAGTTTCTATACTATATGCATTATGAATTCAGAACCTCTGAACCTTCATCAAACCTTAACAAGTTTTTAAATCATATCAAAGAAGAATATCTACTGTAATTCATTACTTTCTTGTAATATATTTTTACTTTATACTAACTGTCTTCTGATTGGCTAACAATTGTCAAGGTCATTCAAGATTCGTTCAAAGGTCGTCCCTAAATTAGAGTTTCGCCTTCATTCGACTTCTTGATTCTCAAGTCAGATACTTCAGAAACAAAATTCACAGAATAATCTTTAAACAAATCAGTACTATAATAAACTGATTGATATAAGCAATAATTATTGATCTTTTTCTTCTTTCAAACTATTTTCTTTTTCAGATTTAACTCCTAAATATTTAGACAATATTAAAAGTGCATCAATATCAGATTTAAGTCATTCCGGTTTAAGAATTAATCATAAAATTATAGATAATAATAATCATAATAAATCAATAGAACTATCACCTTTATTAAGTAAATCATCATCTGGAATAATCAAAACAGAATTGAATTCATTCAGTGATACATCCATTACATTAGATCCTATAAATCATCATCCTAAAATAACAATTATTCGTGAAAATAATCATAATCATGTAAAAATGAATTCATATCCAAAATTACCAATAACAACTAGATCAGCTTATAGAAAAGATATTCAATTACATTATAATAATACTAATCATAGTAATATTCCATCTTATAAATCATCAATTAGTCAATCTCCATTATCAAATATATCTTGTGAAAGTTTACCAAATGTAAATAATTCTATTATAAAACAATTCAATACATCAACATTATATATGAACAATAATGATAATAATAATTATAAAATGAATGATATTACATGGAAGATTCCTGATACAATAGAACGATATAATTCAAATGAAGAGATTGGGGTGAGTTATAATATAACTATATATGTACATTTCAATGGTTAAGATCATGAGTCAGTTGAAGCTAAATTACCATGGAAAACCTGAAAGCACTGGACAGCCGTTTTGTCCTATTGTGGAACTCTTCAGCAATGCGAATCTACAACATCGCCCTCTGCGAGATTCGAGCCCAGGACCTACTGGTTTCGCGTGCGAGCACTTAACCACTAGACAATTATTTAAAGTCATTTGCTTGTGTATTGAAGGTGAAGTTTAAATTCACTTGATATTGTTTATTTCATACTTCTCATTATGATTGATCAGTCTGTAATCAAGACTCAGTAGATAAGTGAATAATGTGATAGTGTTTGAAGTAAACGGCATTGAGTTCAAGTCCTAGAGTGAACATCAATTCTGAGATGCAGATACATCCAACTGACGAGTTCCAAATAAGACAAAGTGAAACATGTCAAACTGAGTTCCACTAATAGTCATAATCCATTTTTCTTGATTAGAATCCTTGTGAATTAAATTAATATCAAGGCAATATACACAGTATCCACATTGCAATGTTAAACATCAATGATAAAATTCAAATAAAACAATATTAAGTGAATTTAACTTCTCATTCATGTTTAAATCTTAGAATTACTTAACCTTCAAATTATTCCGTTTATCTTGAATATTATCATAATTATAAACTATTTATAATAGTAGTACCATAAAGTTACGATAATTCGATTCAATAAATTGTTAAATATGAAATATTTGTTTAACGTTTATCAATCATAAAACTAAAAAGTAAGCTGATTTATTAAAACAATCATTACATCATATTCATCAGGTATTATTTGATATTATGGTTAAGATTTTTCACTTTGTCAATTATCATATGATAAGACCGTCTATTAGAATACCGACTAATATATGTGACTTTATCCATGTGCTAAACCAATAACATGTCGGTCAGTCTTTTCTGATCCTTCTCACCCAGTTCTGCAGAACACAATTTCAGCCTCCTCCATATCAATTGAATAGTTCAGATTTATATGGTTTATCACAATTGAATGATCCCTTGGTGGTGATCAAGATCATGTGTGTCAGGTCCTTATTTAGTGCAGATCGAATCCTATCGACCAAGTTGTAATGTGGCTACCAGTCTAGGTGACTCAACATTGCGTGCACTATGTTGAGATTAGATGGTGGTTGGAGGTAGTCGATAAGAAACCCTGGATCCGGGTTTCGTGCTACTAAGCACTCATCAGCAAAGTGTACCTGTAATCTTGAGGAAACTAGTGCTTCCTGACGGGTAGCATTCAATCTGTATTAGGAAGGATTTGACACACATGACATGGATCACCACCCAGGAATCAATCAATTGTGATTACATCTCAGTCCTAGTGTAGGTCGGTCGCAGCCCGGATAGCCCAGTGGTGACATGTCTGACTATGAAGTTCGATGACACGAGATCTAATCCGTCAGACAGCATCAGTTCCCTTAAGATTAGAGATACACCTTGCTCCGTACATGGTAGGATCTTGCCGCTGGAGACGGAAATCCGTGGGACATTGCGGGATGTGTATTTTTTTGGGTCGACATCGCTGTTATGCTGGTTATCTGAGGGAACCACCTTACTGCCGTCACACCCCTGTACAGTAAGCAGTGCAACTTTGCCCTCAGACCTTGGGTTTGCTACTTTTAGTCTTACTGTTCTTCAACCGACCTGTCTGGCATGGCAAGAGCTTGAGGAATGATTGTTCCGGCCAATACAGCTCGATTTGTTGATTACGATAGGCAAGCCCGATAACCACGTCAAGGTAGCAGCAACGATCGGGCGTTGTGCTCTAGTTAATTCGACAGATATAAGTAGTATGTAGCACCAGTCGGAAGTGGAATGTACGCCAACAGAAAACTGAGGAGAATAGAAAAGGAAACAGATAGCAATTATACGAACAACAGAATTGAAAGAATCATATAGTATGTAAACGACAGGTGAAGGAAAATGTAGAAATAATGTATTAAAGGTATGGTTTTCATATTTTACGAAAGCACTGTGTAATTTTGCATTAAACAACAAATTGGTATTCTCAATTCAAGTGTTCCTTCACTAAATTAATATTGAAAATGTAAAATAACCAACACTTTAATGAACGTATCATAACTTACGTAATTACTTACTTACTCCTGTTACTCCCAATGGAGCATAGGCCGCCAACCACCACTCCAAAACCCATTCTGTTCTCATTCTTTCTTTCTAGTTCCTTCCAATTGTTGTTCATTCTTCTTCTCATGTCTGTCTCCATTTCTCAGCGTAATATGTTCTTTGGTCTTCCTCTTCTCCTTTGTTATTGAGGATTCCGAGTGAGGGTTTGCCTTATGACACACAGTTAGATACTTTCCTCAATGTTTGTCCTATCCATTTCCAGTGCTTTTTCCCGATTTCTTCCTGTAACCAGCATCAATATAAGAAAGTACTTTGCAAAATCTTTAAAAATTAATCGAAACCAAAATATTTAACAATATTTGATTAATGCACTTAATTTATAAACATTTGATCAAGAAACTATTATGAATCTTTTGTTTTTGTATTGTTTTAATATTGATAGTTTTTATTGGTATTATATGAATTGTATTCTATTTTATTCAAAGTATCAACTGACTGTTGGGCAAATGCTCACTGACAGTAAAGGAAACTATCCTTAATTCTATCGAGCAATATAGACGTATTAAGCGTTCTCATGCGAGACCCGATAGATCCTGAGTTTGAATCTCACTAGACGATATCGTGGATACCCACTAGTAAGGAGTCTCACAATAAGACGAAACAGCTGTCCAATACTTTCAAGTTTTCCATGTTGATCTAGTAACAATTGACTAATGATCTCAAATATTTATTTATCCTTAGAACACTAAATTAAATTTATTTCTTAAATTGATCAATGATTAATTATTCATTTATACCCTAGAGATTATAATGAAATAATCGTATTTAAATTTATCTAGTAACAAAACCTTTAATGTATATCTTTTTCAAAAATCATATGATCTACAATAGAATAATCATTCGGATTATAGAATTATCAATCTATTCTACATATATATATATATATCATAAACCATAAACTAGTTGGTCTCTTCTCTTTCTTCTTCTTCTTCTTCTTCTTCTTCTTCTTCTTCTGCTTCTTCTTCTTTGAATCAGGGTAAATCTATATTTAAATCAAGCTCAGCTAATACATTTCATTCACATGTACTTCATATGTACATATATATGTATATATTGAGATACATTCATGTATTCAAATACATTGAATGACACACAGAAACAGAAAATATCTGACAAAAAAAAACAAACAAACAAACAAACTGTGATTTGTAATTTGAATGACAAGCTTAAGTAACCAGTGAAACAAAACAATCGGTAATCATCATTATCTTATACATTATTTAATATACTACTAATACAATTCAACAACTATACATTGATATAAATATCCATATTCATTACTTTAATATATATATATTGAATGTATACAAGGATATATATATATATATATATTATTATTATTATTATTTTAGGTAGATCTTTCAACTTCAGAAAAAATTATGCAATATACTACTAATAATACAACTACTACTATTACTACTACTACAACAACAACAACTACTACTACTACTCCTGCTAATAGTAATACTAATCAATCATATATAAATAAAATTGGTTTATTGAAACAATATGGTCATTATAAATCAACACCAAATATAAATACAACAATAAAAAAATCAAGAACACCAATAAAATTAACAAAAGTTAAAGAAGAATATGTGACACATATAGCTAGACCATTAAAACCGGAATTCGGTGTAAGTTATTATTATTATTCATATTCATACGTTTATTTGTTTATATGTCTTATAATGTATATCATATTTATACATTAAGATTATGTGTGACACTGGAATTCAGAGTATGAGTTCTGTTCTGTTTGAAGTTCATTTGCTAGATCTATCTGAATCCTAGTATATATATACCAATAGTCGAAATCATCAGTCCATTGAAGCTAGATCACCATGGACAACTTGGCCGTCCAGGGCTTCCAGGTTTTCCATGGTGGTATAGCTTCAATCCACAAAAACCTCTGTCTGATATATATATATATATATATATATATATATATATATATATATTGACAATGTGATTGGAACCTATTCGTTTATGGTTCTAATAATGATATATGTAATCCACTAAGCTAATGAATTTAAATAACTATATGGAAATTATGAAGTATTGTTTATCTTTAAAGTATTGTTTATAAAACGTTTTCTTTTTCTAAAGTGTTATGTTTGAAAAGACTATGAGATCATTTAAATCTGAGAGTGAAATGAAAACCTAGTGACACAATGACCAAATAAGTTAACTAGTTCGATGTTAAGTAGAGAGAGAAGTTCAGGTTTAGAAGAGGGAAGATATATTCGACAAATAACCAGAAGTATTAACGACAACAAGTATAACTTAAACGTACATATATAGCATAAAAATTTCCCCATAGGAAATGGTACAAAATAGCATATTGAAAACGACAATGAAGCAAAAATATTTAAAGTCCTCTCAAATGGAAAATACATGATGAAGATGAAAATGGGCGCTTTTGGAGCGAAAATAAGACATTTACCAAGTGACTTAAGAATCTAACAACCTCAACAATAAGTTTCACATGAATTTATATGTTCTTAACGCATTCTCATTATCCATTGCTATATGCACTTTTTAAGGATTTTCTAGGCTTCCAATAGAACATGATATTTGTGCAAAATTGTTGAATAACAATAATGTACGTAATCGTTATCCAACAACGTAAAGATTTTTCCAAGTTTATCCCTCAGTTTATGCCTTATAAAGAGGTATTTGTCATAAACCAACCACAGTTCGGATATTGTTTTTTTTTAAATACATATTAATGCTTGACGTTACCCACCCCATTTGTTTTCTTCAACAGATAATCAACATGACCCCACTAGTAATCAAACTCTATTCATTCACATCTCACTGAACCCTCCAGCAGATATTACACGCTTCCAACTTCGATCAATTAGGCTTCATGAATGTTCAGAATAAGAAAATAGTACATATTGATATAAAGATGACAGATTTATTCACAGTGATACGAATGATGAAAGCTTGTGTTAATGTTGCAACATCTGAATTAAGTGAAAACTTGTGAGGAAAAACAAAACAATAAAAATAAATAAAATGATGTAGTAAGAAGTCTTCAGATCACCAGAAAGTGAAGATTATAGAAGAAAAGAAGTTAGGATAAATAAACAGAAAACTGGGCATCAGAAATTAATAAAAATAGTTCATTTAGTTTCATCAGACCAATGAAATGATATAAGTGTTATCAGTTTTATCATGACACATAGATTAGCATTGTAAGCTTGAATCCTTTCAGTTTATTCTGTATTTAAGAGACGAGATCGAAAAACTTTATAAAACTACGTATAATATACAGTAGGTCACACAGAATGATTAATTTTCATTTACTACTGTATGGAGCGGAAACTTGGAGAACTACGAAAGTCATCACCCAGAAGATATAAGTGTTTATTGACAGTTGTCGACACAAAATACTTCGGATCTGTTGACCAGACACTACACTATCAGCAATAACCTACTGTGGGGGAGAACAAACTAAATCTCATCAGAGGAAGAAATCAGGAATAAGCGTTGGAAGTGGATAGGACACATTTTGAGGAAAGTATCCGACTATGCGTCATAAGGCAAGCCCTCACATGGAATCCTCAAGGACAAAGAAAAAGAGGAAGACTCAAAGAAGAACACATTACGCTGAGAAATGGAGACAGACATGGGAAGAAGAATGAACAACAATTGAATGGAACTAGAAAGGAATGCCGAGGCGAGGACAGAATGGGTTATAGAATGCTAGTCGGCGGCCTATACTTCATTGAGAATAACAGTAACTTTATAACCACTGTCTAGTAACAATGATACTATACAATTACCTATTATCTTAATGAATGTAAATCATTTAATCATTATAAATTAATCTATTATTAATTATTTACAAATAATCTGTTATTCCTAATTTTAGATGAATCATTATAATGCATTCAGTGAACAAGATTTATCTGGGAGAATGATAAAATTAAATGAGAAAGAAAGCAATCGAAGACATAGTGAATTGAATTATTTGCATAGTCCATATGATCATTATTCATATCAACATATAAATCAAAAGAAATTAAATGGTGATATTGATGATCATGTTGACAATGTTCAATTAACAACATGGCGACATAATAGTTATGACCGAAATTTAGATAAGAATTCAGGTAAATTTTGTTTAAATGTTTTACTTTGAAAAAAAACTAACTAAAAGGCGTTTGAAGCGAACGGTATTGGGTTCGAGTCCCGAAGCGAACATCAACTGTTGGATGTAGATACATCCACTTGACGAGTCCCAAATAAGAAGAAACTCGCGTCAAACTTGATTCCATTGCTAGCCACTATTCATCTATGTTTAAAAAGCTTGTGACTTAAGGCTATGTCGAGGTAATCCGCTTAGGATGCACATATGCCAACATGAGACTGATTAATTGCAGTCCTAAATAACAATTGGTAGATACAAGTAAAACAACACCAAGTGAAGTTAAAAATATAAGGTCATGGAAGAATTGTAGAACAGAAATTCTCAAGTTTAAATTATACCTTTAACTAGGTTAACATTTATCATGACTGTATATGGATAGTAATATATCCAATAAATTGACTTTATATATCTATATCTTATTATCAGGATATTGTAGATAATATTTATGACTTATATTAATAGAGGAAAGCCATAAGTAACTACACATCAGTTGCACTTCAGTTTCTGACCTCTTAACAGTATACATTCATAATAGTACACATTATTCAACTAAACATTCTACAACGTGAAATCCAGGTCCCATTCTCATCAGAAACATGCGTCAATTAAGCATTACAGATACTACTACACATAAGTCATTAATTGATTTTGAATGTATTTACCTTATATCCGATCCAACACAGGATGTCAATATAAACCAATATGACTGAAATCATAGACCGATATAAGTTAGACCAACATTGAAAACCCGGGAGTTCTGGATGCCCTTTTAATCCTTACTGTGGGACCAATTACTAGTGCCAATTCACAAATCCACACGTGAGAATCAAAGCAACGAGATTCGGTCTCGTCCACGAACATTTAACCTCTGAACCACCAAGGACTGCATGGATTTCTTCCTGAATCTAGTCACTAATGTACGCATGGTAATAGTAAGATTTGGGTTGTGGAGGTTCCAATCAGTAATGTAACTTTAATCAGTCTATGATTTCAATGAAACCCAACATTCTCTTCCACCCTTTACCGAAAATAAATCAATATTTTGTTTTTAGTGTTGATATTATACATATCCTTACCTATGATTCACATAGTTTTGAGCATAAACAAAGTGTGTCATATATCAAATAAATCTATAAAATTTATTATTAAATCTTAGCAGGGTATAAATTCATATATACGAATGGAAATAATGATAATAGTTTTGCTAAAGGAATGTCATACTGATGAATAGTTTTATTGCCACCTACTGGTTCAACAACTTTAAACAGATCTTATCACAATAGATACAGTAATATCTATAACATATTTGTGCAATATTTTAATTATAAGAACTTATGGGGAACACGAATTGTCAAACTCTATCCTTAATAGCTTATTCAACTAGCTTACCAATCTGATCCTATAGTACAGAATCATTAGTACACTGTGTCAAATTCTTTTGTTATATACTAAATGTCTGTGTATGCTCAATGAATTTAACTATGTACATCAGTTAGTTTAAAGAGTTTTACTTCCTGATACGATTGATCTCCAAATTATAACTGTATCTTTATTTATTACCCCGGTGCCAAAACCGAAGCAGGTGGTTTTCTTAGGGGGCCACTCCCCGAGTCTTTGACCTAAAGGTCTGATCCACAAGGCAGTGGAGCATCGTAAGGAGATGCAGTCCCATGATAGCCGGTGATCAACGATTGGTCCATATGCCATTTGTTCCCTCAGGATACTGGAGCCCATGTTCACCATTAGTTTAGAATCCGGTTAAAGCGCCGGACATTCGCTTTTCGTCGTCACATTTTCGTAAAAAACACCATCATTATCATATTCTTAACCCTTGTCCCAAAGCAGGTTACCTTATTCTATCAACTTTAACAAGGGTATATATATATGTATATTTAATCTTCATCAATTAGTATTATCCTTACTTATTTATTTTAGATGAGGATCCTATTCAACCAATCATTATACAAAGACATTATGGTTCAAATAATTATATTTCAAGTAAACCTTTGGATAAGAATAACTTATTATGTTCTGAACACCATAATTATCAATCTAATCATTATTATACAAAAAATGTAAGTTTTATAATGTTTGAAATGAGTATTAAAACTCAATTATCAGTAAAGAGTTGTAAAGTTATTGATTGAGATCATGAACTGATTAATGTTAGACCACCATTGGTTAAGGTTAGACACTAACACCATTGGATGCTAGCCACCTCAGTGGTCTAGTAGATTAAGCGTTCGCGTGCGAGACTGAATGTCCTGGGTTTGAGTCTCGTGAGGTGGGATCGTGGATGCGCACTGCTCAGGAGTGCTTCCAGGTTTTTAATGTTGGTCTAACATCAATCAGTTCATGATCTCAATTACTTTATTTTAATTGTATAAAATAATATTTCCAGTGAAGATATTGCAGTATGATGTAACCAGTACGTATTTTATAAAAGGGTTTGGAAAGTTCTTTTTCTCCTATCAGATAAGTTTGAAATCTCCTAATGATCTCAATTAATTAATCAATAATCATTAGATAGCTATTTTATTTACTTTTCGGACTTCTCAACAATACATATCACTTGCCAAAGTATCGAAAATCAGATTTCACTGTAGTTAGGACATTTTTAGGTGAATAAGTTAAAATTTTGCATATTGCCTATTCATCTTCAGTCACTTAATGAAATAGTCCCCTTTTAATGTATAACTATTCTACACCTAACAGCAATCTATGACAATCAGTTACTTTCAAACAAAACAATCTCTTTTGAAAACAGAAAGAAAATTATGCAACCATTACAAAGGTTAAACAATTGACAAGTATATACGATCAAAAGTTTATTGTTATCATCACTTGTCATTACGTGATGATCTACTTAATACTAACAAGTTGCTTTAATATGATTAGATCTTTTAAATTTCTTATCAACAATCTTACATTAGAGTGAACATAGAACTGTTGCTTCTAGTTTGGTTGTCAATATAACTAATTCATTGAACCTACCTGTAGGTAATCAAAACTGACCAACTTATTCAATACACAATATTTTTTAAAGAACCTAATGTAAACCAGATTATTTCTTTTGTACTAGTCGTTTAGTCTCAAAGTGAATCCTAAGTATTTACTGATCACCAACGTTATAAGCAAAGATGGATAGTGGCTAGGAGTGGAATCCAGAACGAGTGTTTCGTCTTAAACATCAGTGGAAAGATTCAAGTAAACAAAAAGTGAATTTAATCTTCACCCTAGTGCACAAGTAAGTGGCTTTCAGGACTCAGTAGCTAAGTGGATAACGCTATGGCGTTTGAAGCGAACGATACTGGGTATAATCAGCTGATGAGCCCCAAAAGGGACGAAACGTGGGTCAAACTGGATTCCACTGCGAGCCATTATCTATCTTTGTTTATAATACTTGTGAATGAAAGTAATATCGAGGCAATACACACAGTATTCACATATGCCAATAAGAGGCTGATCAATTGCACTTCTAAACATCAATAAGATTGAAGTAGACAATACCAATTGGATTACCACCATTGTTTCTTTTCCACTAACTTTCAGTACATAATTAACTTTGATTCTGATGGAAACAATTATTTTTTTAATAACATAGAATTTACCGCTGTTGTAATACTAACTTCTTCAATAACAACAAGTTTGAAAATCTCTTAATTCTGAGTGAACAAAAGACGTATGAACCTGATGTTCGCCACCGGCTACCATGTGACTGCATCTCCTAAAGACGCCTTGTGGATTAGACCTTTAGGTCAAGGGTTCATTAAATAGCCACTAACAAAAAATGGAATGCTGAAGAGTTATTTTGTTCTAGTACATTAGTCGATATAATATTTGGCAGTGTTTCTTTGTTAAGTTAAAAAACTTAAAAAATTTGTTCATTATCACAATATGATATGCGACGATTGTAGTATTTTCACAGTTGGAATCACCAGTTGATCTATGCTAGACCACCATTTAAAATCTGGAATCACTAAACGGCCGTTTCGTTGTAGTATGGGACTCCTCACAAGTGTGCATCCACGATTCCGTATCATATGAACTTCAATCCAGGAGCTTCGGTCCCACGCTCAAACGTCTAGCCACTAGATCACTGAGTTGGCATCCAACGGTGTTGATGTTTCACTTCAATCAATCCATGATCTTGCACAACTCTTCACCTACTATCTGTGAAGGTTAACTGTCCCACACTAGACAAGGATTGAACTCCACTGGTCACGACTTCCCACTAGAACTCCGAGAATTTCCTCACAAATCTAGTCACTAGTGAGTATATGATCATTATCAGTATTGGAATTTGTAGAGTCGATCTAAGCTGGGCCATTACAATTCGTGATATACAATAATCTCTTATCATTTTATTCATAGTTAACAAATTTATTTCTAATTTACATAATTATTTTGCAATGAAACTACCAAAAATTTATCCCCATATCTAGTTACCTTTAATCACACAAAGTATAACTTATTATTATTATTATTATAAAAAGTCTTTCGATTGAGATCATGTATCAATTATTGTTAGACCATCGTTAGAAACCTGGAAGCACTAGACAACTATTTCGTCCAGGTTTCCAACGGTAATCTAACATCAATTGGTTCATGATCTCAATCAATAAATTAATAATCTCCACAACTTCTATACTGATAAAAAGTCTTTCGTAAGACATCAGTTAAATAATACAAAGTTTCAAAAACATCCTTTTGTTTTTGGTATAGAATTCTCACTTATATTTATTACTAAATGGTATACAATTTGTTTATATCATATTCTTCCCTTTTTTTGTTGTTGTTGATATCTATGCATAGTTACATTCAGAATCGCCATCAGATCATTTTAATGGGTAAGATCATTTTAATGGATACTATTCTATTTTGATCAAACTTATTTTGAATACAATTATCCCATGAATATTTATGAAAACAAACTATCTATATGTTACATATTCTGGTTTATAAAAAAATCTACTGCGGAGTGATTTCTTTCATTGAGATTTTTTCTTGTCTTGAACACTTCTCCTTTTAGATTGTACTATGACATAGAGATTAATCGAAAAGAGTTGAAATTAAAAGTAACTCCTTTTTTTTGGATGTCTGAAGTCAAAATCATACATTTGACCGTGTTGAATAGGATGATGTTAGCAAGGCACTTCTTTAAGATGGTCAACAATTGGATCAATACTGTCTTCTCATTATCAGCTAAGATGGTCTGTGAAAGGTAAACTATAAAAATAAAACAACTAGTTACACCTAATAGACTTCCTTCGTTAGTGGTAAGGCCATAAAGCGTCTCAAGTAATTGTTTCAAGATAGTAAGGCTATTGCTAATCCACTTGCGTTTTCAGGTAAATTAAGAAAAGGTGTAGTTCCACGATGTAAACGACACAAACACATACTATTAATGTCTTGACTGACTAGATGGTCAGGTGTAACATTACTTTATGAATTATTCCATTTTGTAAACTATTTTCTGTAATAATAAACTGATACGGAACCAAGTGAGAAAAAGTTCTGTTTTATAAATTCCCAAAATATTTTCTAAAACTGCATTAGATTGAACAGGTTTTATGCAGTGAAATTTGATTTGTGCAACCAGATCAACTGAAATAAGACTTGACATTCATGCATGTCAGTGAATTATCTCCGAATCATTAAAGTTGCTTACTTACTCACGTTAGGTCTGTTACTCCTAATGGAGCATAGGACATCGACTAGCATTCTACACCCCATTGTGTCCTCGGCCTTCCTTTCTACTTCCTTCCAATTGTTGTTCATTCTTCTCATCTCTGTCTACATTTCTCAGCGTAATGTGTTCTTTAGTCTTCCTCTTCTCCTTTGCCATTGAGGATTCCATGTGAGGGTTTGCCTTATGACACACAGTTGGATGCTTTCCTCAATCTGTTTTCTATACACTTCCAGCGCTTCTTCCTGATTTCTTTTTCTGATGAGATTTAGTTTGTTCTCTCCCACAGTAGGTTGTTGCTGATAGTGTAGTGTCTGGTCAACGGACCCGAAGTATTTTGTGTCGAAAACTGTTAATAAACACTTGTATCTTCTGCATGGTGACTTTCGTAGTTCTCCAAGTTTCCACCCTATACACTGGGACTGTTTTATTATTTTTGTTGAAAATTCTGACCTTAGTGTTGGTTGACAATTGTTTTGAGTTCCGATTGTTCTTCAATTGTAAATATGTTGCTCTTACTTTTCCGATCTGCGTCTTCACATCTACATCAGATCCACCGTGTTCATCAACGACGCTGCCCAAATATGTAAATGTTTTTACATCATTCAAAGCTTCTCCGTGAAGTGTGATTGGATTGTTGCATGTTGTGTTGTATCGGAGAATCTTGCTTTTCCTTATGTGTATGTTGAGACCTACTGCTACTGAGGCTTCTGCTACACTGGTTGTCTTCTCGTACATTTGTTGTTGCGTTTGCGACAGAAGAGCTAGATTGTGCAACTGCATCCTAGCCGTCCACTGTATCTCATGCTTCCTCCGAGATTTTGAAGTCTTCATAATCATTAAAGTACCTAAAACACACTTTAAAAAAACTGTTTACACGAAAAGATCAATAATTGAAATAATAAGCAAAATAAGATTTTCAATTGTGAATATTATATTTGTATAAGCCTATGTGTAACAGTACTTTACTCACTCATTCTATCCTCAACAATTATACATCATATAATTTTATTCACACATGATGTTTGTTATCATTGTAAGTTTGAATAGATCTTGGACAAATTATTTAGTCTTTGAAGTCAATAAGTCAAATGAACTATCATTAAATTCCTATTCATCTGATATCAATGGATTACTTGGTCCCAAGTAACTATGCATAAAGTATTAGTCAAATTCAATCCAATTAATTAAAAACTTATTTTAGTTAAATCCAAAAGAAAACTATATATATATATATCACTCCGTAAAGTACCACCCTTCTCGTGGTGTCCGGAACGCTCCTGTCGGCCCTTGATAATCCGAGCGAGGCAGTAAAATTTCCGTGGCAGGCCGTACCCATATCCGCGGCAGATCCCCAAGGTGAAGAGCCTCTGGCAATTGAACAATGTAGGTAAGGGAAGTCGGAAAATTGGATCCGTAACTTCGGGAGAAGGAGTGGCTCTGGGAGCCGAGTCAGACAGGCCGAGCTCAGATATGTGTCGGTTTCTTTACTGCTTTGTGTGCTTCGGTGCGCGTTGTGGTGAGGTTACTGGACTCTGACCAGGGTCGATCGTGGGCGGTTTCAGCTGTCAGTGGGGTACAGCTAGCAACGCGCGAGGACTTGTTTTACGTTGCGTCAAGCGGCTTTACTTACATGGTCTGGCGCGCGACAGCTAACTCAGAACTGGCACGGACCAGAGGAATCCGACTGTCTAATTAAAACAAGGCATTCCGATGTCCACTGATTGGTTTTGACGCAATGTGATTTCTGCCCAGTGCTCTGAATGTCAAAATGAAGAAATACAACCAAGCGCGAGTAAACGGCGGCAGTAACTATGACTCTCTTAAGGTAATAGAGTGAAATACAAATACTTTCATAGTAATATTTGTAGAGGTCAAGAAATACATCTAAGATGTAGTCAACTTATTGGTATATATATTGCTTAGTTTACTTACGCCTGTTACTCTCAATGGAGAATAGGCCACAGACCAGCATTCTCTAACCAACTCTATCTTGGGCCTTACTTTCCAGTTCTATCCAATTTTTGTCTATTCTTCTCATTTCTGTCTCCATTTCTCAGCCTAATGTGTTCGTCTTTGAGTCTTTCTCTTTGCCTTTGGCCTTGGGGATTCCATGTGAGGGCTTGCCTTGTGAATATATATATATTTATTCATAGAATTTATTTCAATTCACTTCTTAACTATTTAGTTTATATTGTTTCTTATAACCTTTTTATTTTTCATTTATAATTCTATTCAAGTCATTTAAGCTATCATCCATCTGAAGAATCATTATTAAATGATACAAAAGCATTGAATGGATTTAATAATTATCATGATTATTGTAATTATTCACAATCATTAAATCATAATTATATATGTAATGGAATGAATTCGATGAATGATACAAAATTAAGTGGAATCTATAAAAAAATTAATCAGAAACAACCTAATCGTATATTACCTAGAAGACCACGTTCATTAATACAAGATAATCATTATGATATTAATAATATTAATAATAATAATAATAATAATCAATATGATATATCAAATGAATTACGTAATAACCATGGTTACAGTTATAATAATATTTATGATAGTATAAATAATAGTAATAATAATAATAATAATCAATATTGTGATTATAAAGAATCCACTGATGATTTACATTCGATTACGCCGAATCTATTCCGAAAATATGATTCTCAACAATCATATCATAGTAATAATACTATAAATGATAATATTAGTATGATTACGGATGGTTATCTTTCATATGATTATCGATGTAATAATAATAATGAAATAGTTAATAAAACACGAACATGGACAAAAACAGATCTTGATGTTGCGTAAGTACTTTTTGTTTCTTTGTTTTACTATTATTATCACTATAATATCCACAAAACCCATCTGATATTAATCAACATATGCTCAATAGCGACTGGCTTTACGAGGTATATCCTGAAGTTCTAGTGAAAAGCCGTTACCAGTGGAGTTCAACCAGGTCTGTTGGGAGATAACAAATCACTGAAGACAATGGTGTACGGTGGCGCAACTTCGTGGATTGGTTAAAGTTAGACATTAACACCTTAGGATGCCGGCCGGCCCAGTGGTCTAGTTGGCTAAGCGCCGGGCGCGCGAAACCAGTAGGTCCTGAATTCGAATCTTGCAGGGGGCGAGTTCATGGATGCGCAGTGCTGAGGAGTCGCACAATAGGACGAAACGGTCGTCCAGTGCTTCCAGGTTTTCCATGTTGGTCTAGTTTCAATCGACTCATGATCTTAATAATTGAAATTACTATAATATCCACAAAACCTATTTGATATTATGATTGTCATTGTTCAATTATTATAATAAAGATAGATGCATTTTTAGTTTTATAAAATATTATTTACAATAAGAGGTTGTAAGAAGCACTGGATGGCCACTTCATCAAAGTTTGAGTCTCTTTAGAAGTGAGCATCGATAACCTCATAATGAGAAATCAAGCCTAACACTTTCGATCTTACAAGCTAACGTTTGAAATTTCAGACTACTGAAACGGTATCCAATTGTATGAATGTCTTATTTCAATCAATAGTGGTTCAAATTAGACCGGTTCATGATTTCACTGAAACTTTGATGTATACATCAATTGACTACTTCCTTATTAACATCCCAGACTATTATATCAAGTGATACTACATTTATCAGTTCTGTATAGATTATAGATACAAGCTATTACCGAAAAGCTATAGGAATGAAATGTATGATCATATCGGCGACTTTTCATACTGACGAGTTAGATTCCTAAATTATACTTGTTCAAATAGGGTTTTTTTCTGGATATATATTTGTCACGATCTACTTTAAAGTCACTTAGTAGATATGTAGGATTCAACAAAGGGAGTTTGAAAAACCCTGATTCCAAACCAATTGTACACATGGGATTCAGTATCCTGAGGGACCAAAAAGTGTATGAACCTATTATTGGTGACCGGCCACCATGGAACTGCATCACCTAACGTTGCTTTGCTGTTTTTTGGATAAGACCTTCAGGTTAAAGACCTCGGAATAGGCTCTCTAAGAAAACTATCTGTTTCAGTTTGGCCGCTCGAGCAATATTACAGCCATCATACAAATCAATGATAATGGCTACTGGATTCATGGTTATGGTATGCCCCCTTGTACCAATGTTTATGTGTTTAAATTAATTAATTAATTAATTAAAATCATATTAAGTATTAACTAACTTAAAGAACACTAACCACTATTCACAATTCACCCTTATTCATGTGAATTAATCATTTACTGATTAAATTATCATTCAATTACGCTTCATATTAATATTAATCTATATTACATCATAAGAACAATAACGGGGTGGATTTGCATGCATATAGCATACAATTCTCTTTGAACTTAGCACACAACAATAGCATCATGCACTGTCCCATAGCCCTTGGCAGATCAGGAAACCCGAAAGTTACTAGAACACCATCAGGGCATACGACAGACTAGGTAACACATACTACATTACATAAAACTTAAAATACTCTACAGTTTTTAATGAACCAATTATATACAAGCTACAATGTACAAAAATGGTTTTTGGTTTCAACATTAGTTTTCTAGATATGACAAAAATAATGATGAAATTATCAATGACAACGACAACAACAAAAAATCGAAGGAAAACATCAACTTAGAATTGATTACATAATATAAATAAATAATTAAATGTAATCTACATGATAATTTATTTATTAAACAGATAGAATATTAGAAGGGATTTTTGTGGATAGTAATTTCAATAGTTAAGATCATGAGTCAATTGATGCTAGACTACCATGGAAAATTTGCGAGAACTGGATGGCCGTTTCGTCTTATTGTAGGACCCCTCAGCAGTGCGCATCCATGAGTGAGTACCAGTGACCAGTGGAACTCAATCGAGTCTGTTGTGAGATATTAACTCACTGAAGACAATAGTGTATATGTCGCTCGATTTCGTAGACTAGTTGAAATTAGACAATAATACCGTTGGATGCCAGCCGGCTCAGTGGTCTAGTGGTTAAGCGTTCGCGCGCAAGACTAATAGATCCTGGGTTAGAATCTGGCGAGGCGGAACCATTGATGCGTACTGCTGAGGTGTCCCTCGATGGGACGAAACAACCGTTCAATGCTTCCAGGTTTTCCATGATGGTCTACCTTCAACTGACTCATGGTCTCAACTATTGAAATTACAATAAGACGTATTCAAATTAAATGTATAATATTATTTACCCTAAAAAACACAGATACTTTTAATTTATAAATAAGAACTAATGAGATGCTTATGTTAAAGGTCATCTACTTTTGTCTCCAGATAAGTAAAAAGCTATTTCACATGTAACAAATTCCATTTCTCAATATATTTAGTATATAACCAGCACTCGAGTTCAGAATGAATGTTTTTTTTTAAATTTTTTCGAGACTTGTCATTTAGATAAGTCTACAGTCCAATGTTGATTTTTACATCGAAACTCAAAGTCTATGCCAGTCACCTCAGACTCGAACTCACTATACAGTAAACGATTAATTTGAGATGGCAACTGCCTTGTTCAGAGTATATGAAATCATTAGTAAAGGATTGTATTTTGTATATAACAATAAATATTAAATTTAAATCTCGATAGGAATATCAACAGCGATGGTGTAGTGAACAAGAACACAAGTCGAATATATTTGAATACAAAATTACATAATGCCTTAGTAAAATCTGAGAACCATACAGTAAATACTTCATTTGCAAAATATTCATTAATTGTCTCAAACTTTAATGTTCCTGCATTTTCATACCAATTGCCTTTTATTTCCATTCTTTCCTCCTCTATCTTCTTGACCTTCTGCTGCCAGACATTCTACCGTATGTCGAAATAAGTAGCACACACAACGACGGGAATATAATAATCTAGTTATTCAATAAGTATACAATAAAAATGTGGGTGGTTATTCACCATAGAATTGATTTAAAACTTACTACTTTCACAATATTCATTTAGTTACAAAAAAAAAGCACACTTTTTTAAGTTCTACGTCCAAAACAAAATGATTTAAGTGATATATGTTAACCAATAAGTCTTAACTTCTTTGGTTTGAATTTGTCATGATTGTTACAAAACTTGACGATCGTACATGTGATCTCATATAGGTAACATTTGATATGGATGATAGATATAAGAAACAAATTGATTAAAACAACTATCTAACCATCTATCCTTCTTGATTTTAAAATTATAACTAAAATACATTTTTAAGCAAAGATGGGTAGTAGCTAGCAGTGGAATCCTATTTGGGACTCGTCAGCTGGATGTAACTGCATCTCAGATTTGATGTTCACTCTGGGACTCGGACTCAGCACCGTTCGCTTCAAGCGTCATCGGGTTATCCACTTAGCTACTGAGTCCTGTTAGCCACCTGCTTATGAAATGGGGTGAAGTTTAAGTTCACTTGGTGTTGTTTTACTTGTATCTTCCCATTGGTATTTAGGACTGTAATTGATCAGTCTCTCATTGGCATATATGCATCCTGTGGGGATTGCCTCGATATAGTCTTAAGTCACAAGCTTTATAAGCAAAGATGAATAGTGGCTAAAAATAGAGTCCAGTTTGATGCGCGTTTCGTCCTATTTGGGACTCGTCAGGTGAATATACCCGCATCCCAGAAATGATGTTCACTTAAAAAGCTTATAAAGCTTATGACTTAAGGCTATATCAAGACAATCCGTACAGGATGCACATATTCTAACGTGAGACTGATCAATTTCAGTCCTAAATAACAATAGGACGATACAAGTAAAACAACACCAAATGAATTTAAAATACATTTTATTGTATATATCATACTTAACCATGAGACTTACGTTGTCGATTATTGTTACATAATTAGATCTTGGAATTCATAAATTTTCAAGATGATTTTGTGAATACAATGTAAACAAATAACAGCCGCTTGATAAGAATTTCAATGTTAACTTTATATTTATAAACAAAACATGTTTTTAAAACCTTTAAACGTTTTAAAATAAAATAAACAAAATAAAGAAAACACACAGTTGCACACTTTGAATGACAGTTACCATGTTGATAATCAAAAGAGACAATGGATAATAGTTACCACTTTTTTTTTAAATTCACACATGATCAATCATTTCTGTTATGACTTTATGTCCAGCTTTTTATCACGTGATTTATCCAACAGTCAAAATACGACTTATACAATCTTAGCACTGTGCCAAACTAATGACGTTCGACCAATATGAGCAGTCTAGCGTCCTTATTGATCCTATGTCCGCCTAGCCCATCCACTTGAGTCCAGAACACCAATACCAGCTCCCACTATGCGAAGCGAATCGAATCGAATCATTTATTTTAGATATACTGGGCTCATATATCAACCAAACAGACCACAATGCACCATAAAATAAGAAATAACATTTGTACACAATAAAGCCAAAATGTGGCTGTGAACGTAGGAGGCAATAGTCAATAAACTGAACATAGATTAAGAACCGTAAATCGTACAATAATAATCCATATGTCAAAATAAAGCTTATAATAAGAGGAATATAGATATACATAATCTAATCATTGAATAGTTATACCATAAGAATGTATAGATAATATTAGTCAATGAATATGTCTCGGAAGTTACTGATGATTTGACCTTCGCTCAAATATAACAATTTGTTGTAAAGCGTATTATTGAAATGATTCGTTCATTGAATCATTCTTTATCTATTCAGTGTTTTTGATAAAGTAATCAAAAAAAGAGCATATTAAGAATTTGTCTTCCATTTGGAATCTTTTTTTCTTTTTCTTTTGGTTGAGAT